TAATGGAGAAGAGAGGGTTATGTAGCTCAGGACAGAAGTATTGTAAATATGCAAGTCTGTGTTTTCACTAATAGCACAGGGAGCTGCTGCTGAAGGCCTGCTGCAACCTCATCCAAATCCTACAAAAATATCAGTCTCTAAGTGCAGGAAGTGCAAGAGATGAAACTGTTAGGGGCAACTGAACAGCTGGTAGGTGAGTCAAGTCCAACTTAAGTAAAACCTTTTCTGATACTTTTCTACTGCATCAAATATTCAATTTAATAGAAAGTAACTGGTTTGAATCTTATCTTAGCAGATAATCAATAGAAACTATTTGCTCTAGAGAAATGATTTTAACTCAGTTTTGTGTAAGGCAAATAAGTGTATCTGTGACTACAGTCATCTATAAGGCATCAGAGACATCACCATAGGATTGGCAGGTAAGGACCATTAAAGGAAGCTGAAATCATCTGGAGTGGTAACTTGTGGCTGCATGGAATATCCTACCATGTCTAAAATGTAAGTGGGCACCTATGTGTAGGGACCTGATTTGCAACATAATTTAAGGAGAATTAATTAGCACAATTAGCACAAATAAGAAACTATGGCATGTAGAAGATTGATATGGGGATGTAGAAGAAGATATAGGGAAAATAGAAATGGCTAGTGGGGTAACAAGAAGAAACAGGAAAGGCATCCAAGGAAGACTGCTGACATTACATGCTGATGATCAGGCTGAAATAGCAGAATTGCAGCCTTGTTCTGCAGCACTGCCATTTCCACTCTGCAGCTGGAGGAGAACAGGCCAATGTCTGTACTGCAGGAGCACAAGCACCATTCCCCAGTGGATACATCAGCCAGATGATGAGTCAGGCCACTGGGTAGTGACAAGCTGGGCTGCCAGCCAGTGGGACAGGCTGCTCTCCTGCCAGCAGCGTGGTGGGACACAACACTGCCTGTTTGGGCTGTCAGGCAGGCATATGGTCTGCCCTGGTGCCTGGCTTCAGTCAAAAACATTAAACTCAAACAATGCACCACTGCAAAGCCCTCTCATTCTGCTATCATAGCTTGCCTTTGGAACACTAATCCCTCCAACATCTTTCAAACAGCTTTGAATTTGATTCTGTCCCTAATACTGACTCAGAAATACCATGTAGTGCTCAGCAAATCTTTTATACAGACTTCAAACACACTCATCCACAACTTCTTGGTTTTCTAGGTGCTCATCTCAAGGCCCTGGGGTATGATAAGGAAAAACTCTTCAGTCCTGAAATCAATGGCTGCTTGCTTGAAAGGGAAAAGTTATAGTGCTACATCCTCCAAAAGACAAAGCTTTAGGCTCCTTTTGCATAACAGGCATGAGTGCCTACATTCCACCTCAAGATCCACGTTTTACTTGTCATCTGGATAACAGTGGAAACTGCCTATAATCTTCTAAGGGTTTTGAGAGAAGTGGATGTCTATGAACTCCCTAATGATAAGTGCCCTAAAAATGTCGATGGAGATACTTACTAGTCTGACTGTATTCAAAGTGAAAAGAGAGTAAAGAAGCCATAAGACCACACATGATAAAATGCTTACTTAGTGACTACTGTTTTTCTTGGGCACTGAAAAAATAGTGAATCTCACGTGTTTGCACATTTATGACATCCCCTGTGACCTGAATTTACTTCCCCAAACCAATGTATATGCATAACAAGTTTAACTAAGTTGTCACTGCCTTAATTTGGCTATTGCTCTATTTGAATAGTTGGCTTTGCTAGATCATTATCCATATGACTATGATAATTTAGATTTAGTAAGTCACACTTTGATTAGTTTGTTACATATCTTGTTCTCTCCACGTGAAAATAGTGTTGCCATAGCAAAATGTTCAATGCATAAATTGGTAGTTGCTTTTCCTGACTCCTAAAATGGAAAGAGGATCATTAAATTCATTACTGTGCTCTTTTCCCTTCCCTTTCCTCTCCATGGGCAGTCTTAGGTTTTTGTGAGCACTTCTCTGCCCAATTGTTTCACACTTTTTTATTACTGCATTAGCTTCTAATTGCACACTCAGCAGATAGAATTACAGGTTAATCTGGCTTCCAGGATTTATTTTATTAAATGTTATTTTCCCTTTCCATTTTAGTTTTTTCTTCTCCAAAACTTTCTGCAAGTGTTTTGTTTTGGATTTAGGAGCAAACACTAATATGTATTTCAAAATTAAGTGGTGTCAGCATTCATCAATTATAATGATGGCAACTAAAAAATTTATTTCTTGAGTATTGCTTTTTGTCCTTTTCCCATCATCACAATAATACTGAAAAAGTTATTTTAATATTTTGCTTTAATACTTTTACCTGCATTCTGAAAATTAATTACTTGTTCATGAATAATCTACTACTTCCTTCCCCGAACTAAGAAATGTTTGGGAATCTTTCATTGCACAACTACTTCACAAAGCTGAAGTCAGCCTTAAGATTTATATTTTCCTTTCTCCCTCTCCCTGACCCAATCTTTATTGACTTTTTGGGGCTTGCACTATGCTTTCATACCTTTTAATTCACTCATCAGTATCTAGTTAGACAAATTTGTCTCACAGAAATCTAAACCTGTCAAATTTTGCTAATGGGCAGAGCTTTTCTTCACAAATTTTGGGAGGTTCTTCAAATTTATTATTCAGATTCTGGAATATATAGGGACTATTTTGTTAAAGTCTGCCCTTTCAAACCACTGCATCATTTCCACAGGTTTTTTCCCCTTGTTTTTATCTGGGAGGATCTAGAGAAAGCTGTTGACAGGTGTACTACTTACTGTTCATTAAATTCTGTGGCACACCATCTATGCATGAGCAGCACAGGCTGTTTCCAGCCCCATCAGCACCCAGTGACAGCAAGTTCAAGCTGGATTTGTCTGACATATGGTTATGACATTCCTTCAAGCATGGACTGATGCTATTTATTCAATAATGTAGTATAGCCCCAACCCTCTTTCACCTCAACAACATGTTAACTCTGATGTGTATAATTGAAGTCAGATGCCACCCCTGTCAATAGTTTCACTGTCAATACGTTTAAGCAGGAAGAGATAGGGCTGGTTGCTCCTGGGGACATGAAATGAATACACAGAACATAAGAATGGTGTTTGTTTTGTGGCTGGCTCACAGTGGGAAGGAGTCTAGGAGATCAGGGTTGTGATTAGTTGCTCAAAATCTAGTTGGAAGTCAGTAACTAGTGGTGTACATCAGGTGTTAACATTAGGTCCAAAATTATCTGATACCTTCATAAATGATCTGTAGGAAACAGAGGACTGCTTCAGCAAGTTTACTGATGATCACAGAATCACAGATCCATAAAACTGGAAAAGACCTCCAAGATTATCGAGTCCAACCTATGGCCTTACACTACTTTGTCAACCAGGAGCGGCATCAAGCGCCACATCCAGTCTTTCCTTAAAGACCACCAGGGACGGTGACACACAACTGGAAGGTGTGGTTGATCAGTGACTGATAACACTCCACAGACTTGTGCTGCCATCCAGAGGGACCTCAACAGGCTGGAGAAACGGGCTTGACAGGAGCCTCATGAAGTTCGAAAAGGGGAAGAACAAAGTCCTGCACCCAGGGAGAAACAATCCCAGGCATCAGGATGGGCTGGGGACCACCCCAGCCTGGGGTCCCCCAGGTGGACACCAAGTTGAACATAAGCCAGCAATGTGTCCTTGTGGCAAAGAAGACTAATGATATGCTAGGTTGCATTAGAATGAGTATTTACCAGCAGGTTTAGGGAGGCGATCTTTCCTCTCTACTCAGAAGTGAGGCCACCCCTGGAGTCCTGCATTTCGTTCTGGGTCCCCCAGTCCAAGAGGAACATGGACATACTGGAGAGACTGCAGTGAAAAGTCACAAGCATGATGAAGGAACTCTAGTTGCCATTCCTGTGAGGAAAGGCTGAGAGATCTGCTCAGGCTGAGAGGGACTGGAGAAGACCAGGCTGTTCAGCCTGGAGAAGGCTCAGAGGGCTCTCATTAGTGTGTACACTGATGAAAAGAGGACAGAGCCAGGTTCTGCTCTGTAGTGTGCATCGACAGGACCAGAAGCAATGGGCACAGGCTGAAACACAGCAACTTCCACCTGAACGCCAGGAAACACTTCTTCATTGTGGGGGTGACTGAGCACTAGCACAGGTTGCCCAGAGAGGCTGTGGAGTCTCCATCCTTGGGAGATACTCTGAGGCGGCCTGGAATGGCACTTAAGCAGCAGGGGTTGGACCAGCTGACCTCCAGAGGTCTCTTGCAACCTCTGCCATCCTGGATTTTAGAGACTGCAGCGAAATAACAGCATGGCAGGGAATCATTCTGCCATAGAGATTAATAGTTCTTTGATTATTTCAGGTACATGTGCCATATTTTCTGTTTTCCTTGCAGTTTTCACCACTCCTTCTCATCAGGGTCCCTTTGGCAGGCCATGACTGGAGAGGAGTTTGCTGATCACTTGCTGAACCTTTGAGAACTGCCAATTTCAGCGATGCACCACGTCCTGAGATTAATTAGCTCCTTTATAATGTACCGCCAACCTCTCCTAAACTTTGTTCGCTTGGTTTTCGATTTCTAATAGAAGAATATGCAACATCTGGGAAGGAGCGCTGACAGCGTTTCTGACGGCGTTTGGTCCCGCTAAGCCTGACTTGGCCCTGACTCGCGGCGGATTTTTCTGTCCAAAAAAGCCGGGTGGGCATCTCGCTTGGCGCTGCGTGCACCGAGGAGATGCTTTCCATCAGCACGGGGCACACACAGGCGCGAAACCGGGGCGAGCGGAGTAGAGGCCCCGGCGGAGGCTCGGTCCGCACGGAGCCAGCCCCAGCGATCGGCTCCCGGCGTTGCCCGGCACCTCTCGGGCTCCGCGGGGAGGCCGGGCCGGCAGGAGGCGTCTTGCGGCGGCCGGCAGGAGGTGGAGGAGGAGGAAGAGGAGGAGGAGGAGGAGGGCCGAGGCGGGGGTGCCGGCTCTCCCGGAAACAGCGCCGGCCGGCGGCGGAGCGGCGGTGCCTGCCAGCCGCGGGAGTCGCTCGTGGTCCTGCGCCCTCGCCGCACGCCGGGCGGGTCGGGGCGGCATGGCGGGCGGCATGGAGCCGGTGCCCCGCGAGGAGAAGCCTAACCCGCTGCAGGATGCCAACCTCTGCTCCCGGCTCTTTTTCTGGTGAGCGGCCGGGCGAGGGCAGGGGGAAGGGCAGCGCCGGAGGCACGGCGCCGGCTGCCCGCCGGCGGGGAAGGCGCCGGGCACAGAGCCGCTGGCTTCACCTTGCCCGGCCGCTCAGCAGTGCCGAGCCCGGCAAAAGTGCCCGGCTCGCACTCGAGTGCGGCTCCCGGAGCGTCCGGGCGCGCCGGCGGCGGGCGGGAGGCAGCGAGCGGCGAAGGGAAGCTGCGGCCGGCGCTGCCCCGCTGCGCCGTGGGCTGCCGGCAGTGACTGTGCAGGCGCGACCTGCCGCCCGCCCCCGCGGGCCCGGCTGTCAGCGCTGCCGGCCGGGGCAGCCCCGGCCCGCAGGTGGGCTGGGGTCTCGTGAGGTGAACCCGGCGGCCGCGATAATCCCCGCCCGCGGTCTGGGCACGGCGCAGCCGGGGGCCCGCCCGTCTCGGGCACGGCAGCGCTCAGCCGGGCCCCTCGCTCCCCCGAGCACGTGTTGGGTTCCCTCGGTAGCTGCGGGGAGGACGCAGCGTGTTCTGCTTCCTGGCCGGGTAGCCCTGCTGCCGGTGCAGGGCTGCTCCCTGGCTTTGTTCTGCTTCCCCGTTTGAATAACGGGTCGCGGGCAGGGATTGCTCATCCCGGCGAGGCGTGAGGCTGTGCCCTGCCGCTTCGAGGCGCTTTCTGCCCCGCATGGCTGCCTAAGGGATGGCTGGACAGCATCCTGGCTGCTCTCCCCGCACATCTGCTCCTCCGGGGCTTGGGGGCTCACGCAGAGAAGGCTGGCCGTGTTGCCACAAACTTTACAGCTACCAGCCCCGAGTAGAGCTTGATCTTTTACTAGTGGGGACCTCGGCGTGGGTGTATAGCTGTGCTCAAAGAAGTGAGGAATTGCAGCTCAACACGTTAGTTGCTTTGAACTGTAGTAGGAAAACATGTGCAAAGTAAAACGAGAGAGCACCAAGCTTGTTTGTCCAAGAAGATCCCATTTGGAAGAGCACTTCCAGAAAAGCACTTCCTGCTTCACCTGCTACAGCCTGAACCAGGGTGCACATGTGTGGTGGAGGAGTGGGAAGGAAGGGAGGGCATGGCATGTGAAACTCTTTTTTTGGAAGCCTCTGAAACACAAATAAAAACTCTTTGATTCTATAACCAACTCTGAGCAGGTGCAGAAGTCCTCTTTGGAAGGTAGGAGGATTTTAAAAACCATGATAAATTTCAACGAAACATGTTTTTCAGTCAAGGCTGTGTCCTCAGAGGCACTATGGGCAAAAAGAAAGAAATTAAATCAGTAATAATAAAAAGGTTTTATGCTTGTGTGAACTCCCTGTGTTCAGCATTTTGACTTTTACTTTAATGCCAGGGATGCCTATGTTGGAAACAGCTTTGTTGTGAAATCCAAGCAGAATGGGATGAACCTAAGTTGGCCATGTAGCATTCCTGGACTGCTTTTGGTCTGTTCCCTTTCCCTTGCTGGAATCTTGTGGTGTTAGGCATGCAGTGCTCATAGCTTTCTGACTGCTTGCACCATTCTTTTTTTAGGCCTTCTGTATCACTCTGCATGTATTGCAGAGAAGTGTTCAACAGCAACAGTGAAGTACCTTAAATTTCCGTAGTTTTAGGCAAGCACTTGAAAGACTCCTTTTACCTCAGAGGTGTTTTTAGGTTCTTACTTTGCAAAGGGAAAAAGGTGGAAGGCGGTGCTTGGGGGATGACAGGTCTGCTCAGAGTCCAGAGATCGACTGGGACTTGAGACTTCACAGTCAGATGCTGGTGTACAGCCATAGGGCTTCTGCTTTGGAAAAGGGTTTAGTGGAGCATGTAAAGCTTTAGAATTTGCCCAATGTGCTGTTTCTCAGGCTTTTATAGTAGTGTAATTCACAGCAGTGAAAATAGCCTTCTAAAGTGTCTTCTCTTACCTGTGGTACATGTGATCACATCTAACATCGGTGTATTAGTCAACAAGCATTAGTGTTTTCTGGGTGTAAATTTCAGCTGAAATGATACCGTCACTGCTCTTCACTGTTCAGCCTGCAGAAGACAAGTGGGTAAAATTGAATGAGTAGGGGCTGTCAGTTTTCTGCAAGTTAATACAGTTTTGCATAAAACCCAGGAAATGTTAAAACACCCTGTCATTTAGCTATAAAACTAACTTTAAGGGTAACTCTAAGAATTACTCTGCCTTTCTACAATGAGTGTAGCATCTCTTATCTGTGTGAGTACTGCTTCATGTTAGCTGATGTCTCACACAGGACATTGTGAGATATTTTCATCTGGAGTGCTGGGAGAGCATTGCCTGAGGAGGGCCGTCTGTGAGTAGTAGCTGCCACCACCCTATGGTTGTGTGCCTGCTCTGCTCTCAACATTCCAGGTATTGGCTGCTTGTTTTCAATGAGGGTAAAATACAGCATTGCAAGGAGCTGGGCAAAGGTCCTTCTTATTTTTATTTTGTTTATATTTTTCTCCAAAAGTGCAGTTTTGCCATTGTGAGAACCACTCTCCCATTTGTTGCCAGTGGTACAAAATAAAAGCTTACATTATTGCCTGGTGCAAACATGATCAAACTCCTGGGAGAAAAAAATCATATTTTCGTTGAGTTATAAATCTCAGGTAATGAGTGTGTAGGCTGCAGAGACATTCTTCTTCCATTGTTTGAAGCTTGTCTTCTTGATTTTGGGTTGTGACTTAGCAAGTATGAGCTTGATGAACGTTAAATGCTCCAGCAGTACATTCATGGGAAAGAGGAGGATCTTGAGTCTGTACTAATATTGTTACTTTTCTAATGCGTCCCTTGTGCAATGTTCCAAGAATGAAAACTATTCATGACAGAAGTGTGAAGATCAGGGAAGTTGCAAAATATTCTTGTTTTCTGTGTCTTTCACTGAATTAGCTACATTAACAGAGGTTTATCAAAGCCCGCATTGGCCTTCTGGATGTTTTAGGTATTATTGTAACTCCTGACTTTCAAGAGTCACAATTTCCATACCTACCAAACTTTTTAAAGCCCTGGCGAGTATTTCATTTATAGCTTGGAGTGCTTGTATTTCTGATTTACTTCACTTACGTTGTTAGGTTGTTGGTCTTTTTCTTGCTGCCTTGGTTTGCTGGTGAGAGTGAGGACTCTGAAGGATGGATATGAGGGTTTGCTTTCTTTTTAAGATTTGCCCAAGGAAGAGAGAATTCGGCTGTGTTTTTCATGTTTAAACAGCTATTCAGTTGTAGAAAGCTTAGGAATTGAAAAAGCCTTGTAGACCCCCATGCAGTTGAGAATAGCATATTTGCATCTTTTTTTCTGATGTGGGTGGTGGGGATTATTAAATTAATAACTTCAGAGAGTAAGAATATTTTTCCTTTCTGAGTGTTAAGTCATCTTTGATCTTGCATGTTCATGAAGTAGGAAGTATATTTTTATTTGCTCAGAGCACTTGTTCCCTTGAGTTACTAAATATGTTTCTTCTATACAGCAGTTGAATTTTTATGCATTCTGTTTTTTGGACATCAAGTCCACTTCAGTGGAAAGTTGCTAAACATAGGGTATGATTAAATTTTTGAAAGACTTGATAACCTTTGTGCTGTCAACAATATGAGAAGGAAGGCAAGCTGGAACACCCTGGAAAGAGTACCCAGCATTTTTTGTGCAGAGAAGTAAAAGAAGTTAAAGTTCTTCTAGATTTCATACAAATTTTTAACTTCATTTTAATAATAACAGTAATTACTTATCTGTCACGGACTCACCATGACTGTGGGAAGTCTTTGGGTGTTTTGGAGCACTGTCATCATCCTCAGGCTAGATGCCTTTTCACATCATGACTTGACATGTGGCAATTGCCATTACAATAAGAGCATTAAAATGTAATCTGAAAGCTTACAGCAAGGCATCTACAGAGTTGTTACTCCAAGGAATAAGTCAGTTGGAATAAGATTGGTTTTAGACCTGTTAGTGTCTGGCAGCATTGTTTTGACTTACTACATGTGTACTTTGGGGAGAATGACAAAACCTCTAAGTCTTCTTCATGGATCTGATGCGAAGTGCAGTGGGAGAGAAGAGTAAAAAACAATCTTAATTTTTGGGTTTAAGTGTGAATTGAATTGGGTAAGACATGTAAGTCCCAGGATTTTGAGTGAGGACTGAGCAGTATGTAGCTGCTTGCCTGACCAAATCTACTCATGTCACAGATTTCTCTTGTAGAAGTGCAAATAGCAGCACACCTTATTTAACTTCCTCCTCCTCTCTCACCCTGTGGTTTAGAATTGGAAAAGCCACTGACTGATTTTACTAGATTTCTCAGGCAGTCTAAGTATTGCCTGCTTATCTGTCTTCAAGTGTTTCTTGCCTTGCATTGAAAGAAGTTATGGAAAGAATTCATCATTGTTCTTGGATATTTGAACTGGACTCCGGCAGTGCCACCAATAAAATTGGTTTGTGTTCTTTACTGTGTCAGTGAACAGTGTGAGGATTTTACATTTACTTACCATGAAAATATCAGACTTTGTGACTTGCCTGGGATCTTGCCTGATATTTGGTGAATTCCCATGGTCAATGCCTGAAATTGTGTGGTAATGCTACTTTATAAAAACTTTGAGGTAGCTAAGTTCATTTATTCACCTGCTGGTGCAGGACAGTTGTGGTACTGTAAGAAACTGAAGAAATATGTAAGCATTTTCAGTGTAGATAAACAGAAAACACATTTTCTGTATCCTGAGATGGAAATCACGTTTGCTTCTCTTTTTCTCCTGGATGAAGAAAGACTGAGGATCATACATACAATTTTTTTGAAAGATAATGTCTTGTTTTTTCATTTATCAGTTATTTAATGTCCTGCTGTCAAATTTGAATTATTTTTTCTCCTGAACTGCTGCATTAATTTTTAAGTTTTGCCTGTTTCTTTGCGAGATGTCTGTATTATGCAAAAGGAAATACTTGCAAATTATTGTTTATGAGCTAGTAAAGTTAAAATATGTGGATAAAGGGTGTTAAATAGATTATATGGATTACAACAAGTGTGTATAAACTGTTG